TATTGCATCTATAAATAGATACGTTGTTTGGGTAGATAAGGAAATGAACTCCTGCTGAAGTGAGGGGCTGAAAGTAGTACATGAGTCAGCATTAGTTAGATGAGGTGGCGGCGTTGCTTTGTTCGTGCGGAGAACTGTGTAGACTGCTTGACATTTTTGAGTCTATTGAGGTCGATGAACATTGTGAGACATCGGCAACAATTCAAGAAGGTTTGCACCTGAAATTCACTGCCGAACAACCACTGACCGAAATGCTTAAGAAGACAGAGGATTGGAGGAACGCCGACACTCGCTGCGCTAGCAACGCGCCTACGAAGGACAAGTTCAATGCATGATCAAATTGGTGATCAAGGTCGAAGTACAATTCAGTAAATGGTAAATCTTTCAAAGGATGGAGCAGCAATCGATGCTTTGCAGTATGTTTGCAAGAGACGGAGATGAAGCAGCAAGAAAATTAAATCGGGACTGTTCTGCAAGTGTAAGGAAATAAATAGAGGTCGATTTCCTTCGAATATTGGAAGTATTCGACTGCCATCTGCTAACTCTTTGAATGACCACCTCATGACAAGGAATTTCAGTGGAATCACCTCAGAAGTAATTGGTCGGCTAGAAATTTACTGAAAAACTTTCAATGCTGTGAGATATGTACTTTGTGCTGGCCATCAGGCATTAAACTGAACAGTCATGTATTAGATTGCATTGTCTTAAAACCCTGAAAATTCTTGAAACCTTCTAGCCGCTGGCCTGCATTTCTTGCTTATGACGGAGACAACTTGCGATGCCTCATTTCATGGTGCTCATGGCACGGAGTTGCCCTCCTAACGTTTCCAGCCCAAAATGTTTTTTTTGCAAGATAGCCTAGTGGGTAGGTCACAGGCTTGCATTGCTCACAATCATGTTGTCGCAGGTTCAAATTCGGGCCCAATTATTCATGCTCCATCGTTTCGAGGTTGAGCACTACTTTGGTGCCATGACCCGTTTGCTATAGATATTACCTTTGAAATAAAACGTTGTTGGCAACGGACATTAAAAGAGAATGCTTAAAAGGTTGCATCGCATAAGCAAAAACTGTCACATTCGGGAAAATTACAGTAAGAACACAATATGTGCGGGTCCAACGATGAATGTCAGCCAAAAAGAAGCTCTATCGATATATTCATATCGAGAAAGACCTGAGGAGTACTTAGACAGGTGTCGTACAAGTGTGAATCCTATGGCGAACCTTTGTTAAAAGGATGAGAAATGCAGAACTGAAAAAAAACAGGAATATTTAGAAGGAAACAATGATCTTGCATAGATAGTCAATCAATCAGTTGATTATTCGCTTATCACAAGTAAATATTATTGATCATCTTCAAGCGCAAGAAGCAGGCATATAAAACGAAGCAATGCTTGAAATGTGATGTCATTGAATGACGTTCTTTGATAGTACCATAAATGAAGCTAAAGCTAATAAAGCTATATATACACTGAAAAATGTCATTTAACAATCTTACCATTACGTGAAAATAAAATATGAAGCAAAATTTGCTTACGGATAGATGTTGAATGGCTTTCCATCTTTGGTTATTTCTTCTAGCTGTTGTATCATGAAGTCAATTGCAGAATTGATTGTTGGATCCATCTGCAGATAACAGAATCATTCACTTGAACAACGCAAAGGTGCGCAATTACGCAAATTAACAATCTTTGAATCATTAACCATTTAATGTTCATGAAGAGTAAAATCCGAAGCACAAAATTAGATAAGGTAAAGTATATCCTCAGTGTTCCTGCTATCCTACCAAAAATGATAGCTTTCCGATTCCAAATATTACATTCAATTACTGCTACCCGATTTATAGGAGAAAATGCAAATTGAACTTGCTTTTGCTCACACAGGGTAACCATTTAAACAGATAACGGCTCCGTGGTATTTAGGCGTTTGCAGTAAATCACATGCAAGACCACAGCTCTGTGTTGGACCCTTAGGCGACTAGAAGCAATGAGACGGTCGCTGTGCAAGTCGGGCATCAGAAATTGATATGTAGGATTTGCCGACGAAATTGGAAAGCGGCTATTTGTGGTAGCTACCCCAGAACTCAGGGACTGCGTTTAACTTTATCTGTACATTTGGTACAAATATTGACAAAATTTGTTTATGCTCGAACACACCCTTTATTCAGGCCAGCTCAGTGACTCAGTAATGCGTTCTTGCATCCGATATACTGCTAAGGCTTAAATACTACGGATCTTTGACCTGCTTAATGGTTTCTCTTAGCGACAAAAGGAGCGGATAGCGCGTTTTTAGTTGCAAATTCATCATAAAAAATTGAAATTGATATGTTATTCCGTTTCCTGCTGGCAGAAATTTAAATTTGTGAAAGATGAACTAAGATCGATTGATATTTAGATATTGTACTGATGGCACTATAAATAATAGTCCCTCCGTATAGTCTAAGATATCGAGCAGAGATTGATGCCTGTTTTCTCTCTAATGAAACGAGGAAAATAAAGTTTTACCTAGGTAGTTATGCATCACTTTACGACGACAAATGTCGTATCGAACTGCCCCATTCGTAGGGCATCATGCAGATTATGGAAAAGATGAAGAATCAGCTAAAAAACTCTTTATTGGCAAACTGACAACGACAGACATGGACCTCACTTATCGACATATCGAACAAATCTATCCTCTCACGGTTATTAGTTTGCCATCGTACCTGACATCAAGCTGACCAAATCAAGTATCTCGGTTCCACCACCTTCAGCGATGTCACCATTGAGTCTGTGACAAAGGCAAAATTGCTTTATCATTGAATGCTTCGGAAACCTCTACAATATTTGATCTGAGAGGGGAGTACCTTCCGCCGCGAAAACAGCCTGTCCCATGCGGCTGTTACGTAAGTGTTGCTGTACGGCAGAGACAACTGTTCTAACAACGGATCAAGATCGGCAGTCGAACTGCTTGCTGCTTGCAGCAGCATGTTTATCGATGTATCATAAGGGTCAAACGGCATGATCGCGTAAGGAATGACTTCATTCTCTTCCGGACAACGGTGACCCCGGTAGACGAGAAGATTAAAAAAATGAGGTTGTCCCATTGGACAAATTGGTTATTGTGAATCATTTGGTTCAGTCACTGAGCTTTTCGTGTGGTCATCGAAAACCAACGAGAAGGTCAGCATGCAAAGTGGAGGAACAGTGATGAAGCACACCTGCTTTCAGAGAAGAACATTTCCATCAATGATACGGTAGCCAGTCCTTATAGCAAAAGTATCGAAAAGCTGCAAATACGGCGGACATCACAAACCAGAAACGTTCTATTTATGCAAACGGCTCGAGGTGATTATCTCAAGGAAAAAAGTAGCGGCAAAGACGTAGTGGAAAAGGCAGAAATATCTATAATCTATATGGCACCTATTAAGCAAGAGAACGTTTATAAGAGGTAGAAGGTAGAACTTTCAAAGCTCTTTATGACGAAATAAGAAAAGGAAAAAGAAACTAGTGCGGATATTTATTCTGATTCCACGTTTGGCATCACGAAAGACAAGAAACAAATTACACGGCTGTCTGGATTTTTCATGGTTCGGGGCACCAAATGCCGCAGAGGGTACACAGTCAAATGCTAATGCGTTTTACTGCACAGACCGCAGCATCGTCAGGTCTGAACTGAGCACAAATGACTGCTTGAAGGCATTTATGTCCAACAAGCGTGCAATGCCAAGTTTCAACTGGCTCATCACATGCAATCAAGACATCGTTATGTTTTCTGAAGAAATTATAAAGTTTACATAAAAATAAATCAGATCTTTGTCATTTTTACCCGAGTTTGCGAATCAGTTCTGTAATTGCCCTCTCAGTTTTCACTGCTGACAATAGAAGATGTGTATTCGCCGCGCATCCGGTTTTTCATTGCAAGTATATGCGGGAACTCAGCAGACCTAATTTAGATTGTTCTCTGTCTGTGACAGACACATTGGTCTGAATGAAAGAACATCCTTCAGCAATCACATGTTTGACAATGCCAGAATTGTCAGCCTCTCCAAGGCGGACGGCAGCAAGGCGCTTTTTTATATGGAGATTCAATTTCCGGTTGGTCATTCTAATGTACACCTTGTCGCAATCTCTGCGCGGAACTTCTTAGACAGCATTTAATACGTTTTCAGGGTTATTGATGGGCATGTATTTTTTAATTAAAATGTCGTGTAATGTTCCGCCAGTCCTGTGCTAGGCCCTAAACCCCATTGGGCGACATTTTATATGAAAGTACATGCCCATCAATAACCCAGAAGATGCGTTAAATGTTGTCTACAAAGTTCAGTGCACAGACTGCGTCACGGCATACATCGGAAAAACCAACCGAAAATATAACATCCGTACAAAAGGGCATCTTGCT